CACTGCAAATCTACCAAGACCTGGCCGTCCCTCTAAACTTTCAGCTCATACAAGGAGAAGACTGATCAGAGATGCAGCCAAGAGGCCCATGATCACTCTGGATGAACTGCAGAGATCTACAGCTGAGGTGGGAGACTCTGTCCATAGGACAACAATCAGTCGTATACTGCACAAATCTGGCCTTTATGGAAGAGTGGCAAGAAGAAAGCCATTTCTTAAAGATATCCATAAAAAGTGTCGTTTAAAGTTTGCCACAAGCCACCTGGGAGACACACCAAACATGTGGAAGAAGGTGCTCTGGTCAGATGAAACCAAAATCGAACTTTTTGGCAACAATGCAAAACGTTATGTTTGGCGTAAAAGCAACACAGCTCATCACCCTGAACACACCATCCCCATTGTCAAACATGGTGGTGGCAGCATCATGGTTTGGGGCTGCTTTTCTTCAGCAGGGACAGGGAAGATGGTTAAACTTGATGGGAAGATGGATGGAGCCAAATACAGGACCATTCTGGATGGAAACCTGATGGAGTCTGCAAAAGACCTGAGACTGGGACGGAGATTTGTCTTCCAACAAGACACTGATCCAAAACATAAAGCAAAATCTACAATGGAATGGTTCACAAATAAACATATCCAGGTGTTAGAATGGCCAAGTCAAAGTCCAGACCTGAATCCACTCGAGAATCTGTGGAAAGAACTGAAAACTGCTGTTCACAAACGCTCTCCATCCAATCTCACTGAGCTCGAGCTGTTTTGCAAGGAGGAATGGGCAAAATTTAAGTCTCTTGATGTGCAAAACTGATAGAGACATACCCCAAGCGACTTACAGCTGTAATCGCAGCAAAAGGTGGTGCTACAAAGTATTAACTTAAGGGGGCTGAATAATTTTGCATGCCCCAATTTTTCAGTTTTTTATTTGTTAAAAAAGTTTGAAATATCCAATAAATTTCGTTCCACTTCATGATTGTGTCCCACTTGTTGTTGATTCTTCACAAAAAATTACAGTTTTATATCTTTATGTTGGAAGCCTGAAATGTGGCAAAAGGTCGTAAAGTTCAAGGGGGCCGAATACTTTCGCAAGGCACTGTACATTCTGTGCCTGTGTGTCAAAAATAAGTGCACCTACCAGCTGGTGGCAGTATCTGTACTAGCCACTCAGAAAAAAGAAGAAGAGCTGGATTATGGACATACAAACTGTAAACAAAGCAGCTCTTGTTCATCACAGCTGCTGTTTCTAATCGAAAACACTGTATGTGTGGTAAGAATTTGCAAATGGCACTGCCGTTCTCTGCCCTTGGTCTTTTGGTTGTGGAGGAAGAAAGGAGGTCGTGGAGGTAAAAAACAATGAGAAACCACACTAAATGGGTGAAATCATGGATAGTACATCAACAGGCTGAAGGGGCTTTCCAGAAACATTCTCTTTTCATGCATTGATCAACAGCCATTCAGCGTGGTCTCTCTCGCTGACATTCAACATGCTGAATCGGCCAAAAAACCACTGACAGGGTCCGACTAGTGCCAACAGTGCGGAACACACCGTGAAGTTGAAGACGACAGACAGTCACCGACACTGACAGAGGCCAACAGCTGACCGTTGGCTTGGTGTGTCATGGGCCTAACAAAAAGGTGCTGGCTGTTGACTCTGTTTCACTGTACATGTACAAGGGTGATATCAACCATCTCATCCAAATGTCTACTATTAAGAATAAGATGCAAATGTTACTTTTGCTTGAAGTTTACTACACTTCCTGACATTTTAACTGACTTCCTGTCTTTAACACTAACATTCACAACAACCATAATTGTTAAATGTGGAAACGTACCCCAACCTGTACTCCCAAGTGCTGTGAGACTCTAGTATAAAGATAGTAGGTTCTCACAGGGTAGGAGGGATTACGTACACACACTCCTCTCACTGCACACGCCTCCTCGGTGCATGGTATTTATCAGGATGTGTGACAGTATTTACCCATCCATCAAATGCAAAGAGAGAACAGGGAGACCGTGTGAGTCTCTGTCAAATAGATAAAAAAAGATTGGACAGGAAAGTAGGTCCATATGGAATCTGCTGCAGCATCTGTCAGGCTGCATTTAGCAGTAATGAAATGAGCAGGAAAAAAACTACTGCAAATGCTACTTTTGAGACACAGCTGGGAGTGTGAAGTCAATTAAGAGCACTTCTTGGCTCTTACAATTGGGGGTTTTCAGTGCATCATTTATCTGGAAGAAAGATTCAAAATTCTGAGGGCGGCACAAACTGAGGACCACAAATACATCTTCAACTCTCCTTCAGCACCCACTCTACACCTCACTCCTCTTCACCACCTCATGTTTTTTCCCCCTTCTGTGTTCAGTTACAAGGACACAAGTAAATTACAGTGGTGTCTGTGTATTTCACCAACATCCGCTTCAGCTTGAGGCAGGATAACATGGGGTGTAACATGGGGAAGGGATTTTAGAATGTGGATCTTTCACTCTCTTCTCTCTCTGTTCACCCTCTTATGTCATTCTTTTTTTTTTTACTACTTTTAATCTCCCTCCACTCCTCCCCCATCATCCAGGGTGATGTCTTTAGCTGATTAGAGCAGCAAATATTAAATAACTCAGAAGGTGGAGCCAGATAAAGGTTTTCATTTTTGCATGAAAAATAATCTTAATTATTATTTGATGATCAAAATAGTTGCTGATTAATTTCCTATCTAATGGAGTCATTGCTTTAGCTTCAGTGAGACTTATTAATCCCAACAAGCCATGTAGGATGCTGTGTCTTCTTTGCCTTTTGGCTCCGCTTTCCAACAGCTTGGCTCCAGAAAAACCATCTTTCACCCTGTCGACCTCCAGTGTTTTAATTTGTCCTTCAAGCTTTGATGGCGACAACAACCACTTCCCTCTCCTTGGCTCCACCTCCCCACTCCTCCCCCTCCCCTTCCCCTCTCCTCTCCATTGCTTTCTGTCATCTGTCATCCTCCCCATTTTCTCTCCATCCTTGAAATTCTGCTGTCTTTAAATGAATTCCACCTCAAAAGCTCATCTCTGAAAGGTTATTTGCAGCCACTACAGAACCCCCTGTGGCTCTTCACTGTTCTTCTCTTTGTGGTTCTTTTCTCTGGATCTCTCTTTTCTTGTTTTTATCCGGTCTCTTTTGCCTCTAGCACTGTCATAGCAAAAGCCTTACACACTGACACACAAAACCCACTGTAGCACAGCCAAGTGAATGACTAGCTGGGAGAGTCAAATGCTCTGTTATTCCATTGCAAATACAATCTCTGGAGTTGCTCTGCCACCAGGGAGCCCCAAGGGGCGTCAAGGTTTGCTCAGAAATACACACAATCAAACCAAGACAAGCCAAAGAAACTGTGTGTGCAAACAGCATGTCTGTGTGTGCGCTAACCAGGTATGCTGAACTCCAAGCGATGTGGAAGCATAAATATAACTTGATAACAACATGAGACCTCATTCAGTGATTGGTGCATGATGAATGACTCCGGTTCTGCAGTGTTAGTCAGACTATACAATAAATGCTTTGTTGCTGTGATCACTGGAGCCGAACAGCTACTTTGTTAATTACGTCCTGCATATTGTTACGCCTTGGTCGGGGGGGGGAGTGCCTATTGTGTTTATGTTTATGTTTTAGGATCCTATAAAACACAGAAATAACCTAATGCATGACAGTCTGGTGAGAGACAGAAATATTAAAGTACAGACACGACAAATTAAATGAGCAGTTGAGCTATAAATATAAATGAGAAGATTAAGCAAGAATAAGAACACTTGCCTCTTGGGCATTTTTTTTTCTGATGAATAGTTGTGTATTTTGAGATTTATATAATTTTAAACTGATTATCCAAGACAAAGTCTCTACCTGTTTTCATCATGTCAGTTTGAAGCTGATCTAATTATTCGTATGTATTTAACAGGACTTATCCTCAGACTCTGCAGCTCCTTTCACTTCTACAAAGCGCTGCAGCATCTTTCAGCTTGTTTACTGTAACTTTACTGTTCTGGTTCATTAGATACTGTAAATTTCCACCAGCAGCACTTAAAAAAAAAAGAAAAAAAAAGCTCCTCTGATAAACTGACAGCTCCAAAGGGCTGCCAGAAGTTAGCGACTAGCACATGAACACCATGGGGCAGTTAGCAGATATTTCCCTCAGTAGAAGGTGGAGACAAAAACAGGTAGAATGAAAGAGAATATTGAACCTCACATTTAGTAGCTATAAACATGAGTCTCAACTGAGTGTTAATGTTGTTCCATATCTGCTAAGCTAATGTTTTCTAGCATAATATCAACGTTACTATATCTCGGTGTTGTATTTTCAGCCTACAAGTGGTTAAAAAAGCTATTAAAGAAGGTTTTTACATTCAAATGACTACATCAGCGATCATGATTTTCCACCCAGTAATAATGATTTTCTAACTAACATTCATAATAGCAGTCTGCCCTCTATGGAGGATGGAATTAAATACAGCTGAAATGCAGATTGCCCTTCTCCTTGAGGCTTGTGCTTTCTGTTGTAGCCCATCGGTTATGTTGCCATAGTGGGGTCGAGTGAGTGAATAAGGTGCGGGTAAGATGAAGAGAGGCCAGGCCTGAGAGCGACTTGTCAGCTACAGCCTTGCATAATGGGAGCTAATGGCTCAGGGAGCAGGGACATGCTTGTTCAATCTACTCAAGTTAGACTGAAAGGAGCGGTGATGCTGTGTGTGTGTGTGTGTGTGTGTGTGTGTGTGTGGTCTTGTTTTTGTATACTTTTGGGGTCTAAAACCTAGGAACACATTATCTTCATGGGGACTTGCCTTCCTCGTGGGGCCCAATGGCTGATCCACATGAAATAAATAAAACAGTCGGGGTATAAGGTCAGGGCAACGTTCCATTTTGGTTAAGGGATAGGTGTTAGGCAAGTAGCAGTTGCTGATGTCCTTCCTTGTACTGATTTTTATCAAGTTTACCTTGTTTCTGTTGTTACTAACAGTGCATGAAACTGTCTCTCTCCCAGGCAGCGTGCCCTGTGCAGGGTGGTGATGAGCAGTCAGGGCAGCAGCAGGGGATGTGGCCAGCATGCTGACACTCCTCCCACATGTCACATCCCAGGACCCAAGCTGCAGGTGCAGCGCTCCCTCTCTCGTGACACCATCACCATACACTTCTCTGCTCTGGGGAAGGAAGAGGATGATGAGGAAGAGGAGCTCTATGGGGTACCTGCTGGAGCAAAATCTGGGCCTCATGGTGCAGAGGGACTTCATGGTTTTGAAGCTGATGACCAGTCTGTTGCCACGGGCTTGGAAGCGAAAGAGGACCTGCTATTTGAATCCACAGGAGTGGAGACTGCCTCTGGAGCAGCTGTGTTCCCTGTTTCATCCACCACCCTGTCTGTGCAGCCCTCAGACTGTCACTCACACACACCCTCTCCAGCCATGACCTTTATCCCCACCTCCACCCACTCCCACCTCAGCTCCACCCCACCTGCCAGCTCCCTGTGGTCCTCTGACAGGCCCTCGGCCAATCCCCCTTCCACAAGTTCCAGCTCCTCCTCCCCTTGCAAGTCTGCAGCACTGTCATCCTCCAAGCCATTCCTTAGCCTCGTCAGGTCTTTATCCAGTGACGTTGAGTCTCGAGAAACCACACTTGCCACTGTCACACCATCACACACACGCCACAGACACTTAATGAAATCTTTTGTTAAATCTTTGTCCACGGACACCTCAAAGGCTGAACATCAGGAAGGACCATTCCATCACTATCTTCATCAGCCGCAGCAGCAAATACAGCCATCCCATCGGTCTGCACCTCGCAACATGCAGCTCTTCAAGCAGTTTTCCCAGCCTCGCTTGTCCTCCAGCCCAGTCGTTGTCACTCAAGCAGGTGGAGACTCCAAAACAGCCCCTTCTTCCCCTGTCATGTCACCAGATGGTAGGTCATTCTTTAATGTCCAAGAGGTGGAGGCCAAGATAGAAGATACCAAGCGGCGGCTGTCAGAGGTGATGTCAGACCCCCTACAGCTTTTTAGTAAGATCATGGGGGATGAGTCTGGTGTTGGAGCTATTGGGAGTGCCACTCATCGCTCCAAATCTCTGTCCTCCAGTGCGTCAGAGCTCAGTGGAGTGACAGCAGTAAACGGACACACAGAAGGTAACAACAACTACAGCATCAAGGAGGAGGAGGGGGCAGAAGGGGAAGAAGATGAAGAAACCCCCACAGGCAAAGGCCCTGACTCAGTTTTTATCTCCCTCCCATCACTGGCACCAGCTCCTGCCTTTACCCAGGCCTCCTCATCCACTCTCCACAAGTCTCCTTCACTCACTCTGGGCCGCTGCTCTATGTCAGCGCTGGTAGCTCGACAAGAAGATGAGGACTTCTGTGAATTGTACAGTGAAGACTTTGAGCTATGTACTGATACAGAGACGCCAGATGGGGATCGTTTTGGATCCCGACGGCCCCATACTGGTAGTACTGGTTTATGTAGTGAACTTGATATGGAGGAAGAAGAAAAGCCAGAGGAGGAGGTGGAGGCTGTGCCTGTGACTGGCCTCATCTTCTTAACACAGATGGTGTACTGGTACTCAGTCCTTCCAGTGCCACCCTCTGTGTGTGCTGTGGTGCATGGGATAGTAGCTGGCTTCTTCTTGGCCTTGCTGGTCCTTTGGCTGTCATCTCCTCAGCACTCTGCATCAGGGACGAGAGGAGGGAGGCGAAGAATAGAGCACTGGAACGTGGCCCAGCTGGATATCAAAGAACCAGGAATATTCAAGGTGAGACAAATCGCAACATGGATGGCCAAATTGCCATATGACTTCAAAATATAAGTGTGTTTTCTGTAATTCATTGTAGACCTTTGGCTCTTGTTGTCAAAGACATTAGGTTACCATTAAGGGCTTCACTTTGCTGTAGCATTATCACTGGCATATTTAGGCATGATTGCCTGCTTCATGCAGACTTAGACTTGGTGGATACAGGAGAGGTGCAGATTTTAACGTGAAAAAGACCTTGCTCTGTAGTTAAAAGTCAAGTTAACCAATAATTCCCCCTGTTGTTTCAACTGAACTGGCTCTGCTCACAGAGCATCTCTCGGGACTGAAAATGTAGGAGTCTGGGTGATAATTAAACTCTGTACAGACTCATGAGGGCCAGGAGCTGAGGTGTAATATTCCACTTTTTTCAGTGACAGCTACAGTTTTGCTTGGAATCAACCAGCTGGATGAGAGCCCCACCACATGTACTCCCTGTTCTCAGTTAACCTCTCTTGGCGCTGTATAAACTTTTAGAAAACAAATGTTTAGCAGTTTGAGGGAGTTATGTAAGATTGTGTAGCAGTGTGTATGTGCTTTTGTGGGTACCAGGCTTTTGTACAGGAGAGCCCTACATGTATGGTACGAGGGCACAACTGTTCCAGAAGTGGAGCGGTTATACAGAACATGATACATGTTTAAGAATGGTAACACCAGTGGGGACAAATCTTCCTCTTTATCTTGACATGTTAATGCTAAAAAATAATGCCAAAACAATCAACATAGAGTATAAGCAATAATGTCTAGTTCCAAGTCAACTATGCAATTCTTCTGGACTAAATGCTAATTGATTTAGCCAATTAAACCTTCAATCCCAGATCTTGTGTACAAGTGATGTGAGCAAACTTTGATTTGGTGTCAGTAAGAACCCTTTCCCTCCTCCCACCCACAATCTCTCAGGGCTGGATGAATGAGATCCACAGCTACGATCCAGAGATGTACCACGCCACCCTGACCCACTCTGTTTACGTCCGTCTAGAGGGCTCCGTCTTACGTCTGTCCAAGCCCAACCGGAATATCTCCCGCCGTGCCACACACAACGAGCCTAAACCTGATGTCACCTACATCAGCCAGAAGATCTATGACCTGACTGACAGCAAGGTGGGTGTGTGGTTTAGAGAGTATGAAAGAGCGATGCTGAAATGTTGTCATGCATCAGTCTGCAGCCTTGTGAAATAAGACTTTGTGGGAGATAAGTGAAGAAATAAGGGGATGCTGGCTCCACAGTGCATGTGTGTGTTTGACTATGACTTAACAGACATCAAACACATGCCCCCTCATATTTGCCTTTGCCCAATTGCATGCCTGCTAATAGGTCATGTTCATTGATAAAGCACTTTGACAAAGAGTTACATACTGTGTGTAAACATGGAGTGAATGTGGCAGGTCACTGATTCTCTACACACAGCTGTGTCTAGCATATTGTGCTGACTCAGTGGTTTTGCTTATCTGAGGGCAGGACAGTAAGAAGACATTTCTCATATCAGTGTATCATGGAGTAAAGAGGCCATTATGGGTGTCATCATCTAACTATCCTGCTCTCCTTTCTCTGCTTGTAAATGGATCCCTAAAAGGCCATTTCACCATCACTACAGTAGATGTTTTTCTGACTGAATGTTAACTATATTTATAGAAGTTGGATTTTTTTTTCAGGTGTTCCTGAATGTGCATTTTCTTCTTAAAGTAAAGTTCTGACTGTCAGAGATGTGTTAGGCTGGAGCAAGGATTTATGCTTGAATAAAATATGTAAACAAGGTTGCATGAACTGTTACAACACACTGTACAACACTTAATAATGGCAAATGGTAGCTACTACGCAAGCAACTTTCCATCACGAACAAAACTAACCTGTACTTGTATAATTGCCTGCATTGTTTCTTTTTGTTCATATTTTCAAATGTTTTAAGCCCTCTGTTGCTGCTGCTCACACCCTGGGACAAGTCTGCCACATACTGTAGTATTTATAGTTTTAGTGTGCTTTGCAACGTGTTGCAGAGCTAGAAACAACAAAACCCTCTAACATCATCACCATGATATAACAGATCATGTGGATTCTGTGTATTTCTCCAACATAGATTTACCTGATGCCCAAGAGCTTGGCTAGAAAGAGAGTTTGGAACAAGAAGTACCCCATTTGCATTGAGCTGGCCAAGCAGGAGGACTTCATGTCCAAGGCCCAGGGAGAGAGGCCCGAAGCTGGGGAGGACAAATTAACAGGACTGGGCGAAAAGCTAGAGCGAATGGACAAAGGTGAGAAAGCTGAAGTATCAGGATCGGCTGAGGAGCCCAAAAGACCAGCTTCTGGAGGAGGGGATCTGACAATCTACCTGTTTGGGAGGACGGGTCGGGAGAAGGAAGAGTGGTTCCAGAGATTTCTTGTTGCGTCCCGAATGAAGTCAGAGGGGAGAGGCAGCAATCTGCATGGCATCTGCAAGAGCGGTGAGTGATACAGTGTCATATACGACATATACATTGTATGAGTTCATCTGTCTCTCTCACCATTTCCACACATACTAAATTTGCACAGGGCCCCCCCACACACTCCCACACCCCACCAGAACCACCATTGTCTTGGGTATTTAGCTGCACAGGCATAGGAACTGTGCATAAGCTCCAGCTCAGGGGCTGCCAATCCCCTCAGTGAACAGATGAGTATGAATGGGTCAGCAGGATTACCTGCACAGAGAAGTGGCATATGATAGCAGTGGTCTTCACTGCGGGTTATAAGCCTGCAAGTATAAAGCCCAGTTCAAAGGAAAACACTAGTTTTGTGTGGTTCAAGTGATAAAAGCAGTGCAGGTAAACAGGATTACTGGCTGTGCATAACAGTTATGACTATTTCAGTGTCAGTATGAGTCACAGAGAGGATGTAGGGTGTCATCCAGTGTAAAGCCTGCTGATTCAGTGTTGCAGTATGTTGTGACAAGTATTATAAAATAAATGTTAACTATACAAGGTGTGTTGAGTATGCATTACGTGTATGAACATGATGCATTGATTGGACTTGCTGAAAATGTTGTTGATGCATAATTGTACCACATTAACCTCCCCATACTCTTCTCATCCTGCACTTTTAGCCTTCTTGCCCACCCACACCCGCAGCGGCAGCACCCAGTCTAGTGGAGGCCTGGAGGCTGACAGCAGGAGCAGTAGTAGAGGAAGCCTGGAGGAGCTCCCTCAGTCACGCCACAGAGAGACCCCCTCTGCTTTCTCCTTTGGCTCTACTGGAGGAATGAAGCAGAAGATGCTGCTGGACTATAGTGTCTATATGGCCAAATATGTCAACCCCCAAGCACCACTGAGAAGCCCAGCTGCTACGGACAGCCCTGGGAACAGCCCCGAGAGCAGCCCCAAGACCACCAAAAAGGTATAAGACAGAATACATGAGCAGTGTTTTTCAGAGTGAGCCCTGATTTTTGTTTGTTTGCTATTGTGCAGATTTGACAGTTGGTGGTAGCAACATAGAAAGGAAATATGAGAATGTATATGATCAATAAAGGCAAGGAAGGAGAGGAAATGTACATCATGTTTTAACATGTATGTTGGTACATTAATCAGATAACCATGTCAAATCAGTGGACCTTTGCATTTACACCTGGTATGAGTAATCGGTTTTGTTATCGCCATTGTTCAGATTTGGATCCCAAGATGCAAACTACTTGAGCAAAGCAATAAGCCTGGACCTGGATTTTATGGCAACTGCCAGAATAGCATCTAAGTGTTCTAAGGTGGTTGCACTTCCTTGGCAGGCTAACAAGCTATCTAGAGCACTCTGAATAAAAAACTGAATAATTGGGCGTGCAAAATTATTCAGCCCCTTTACTTTCAGTGCAGCAAACTCTCTCCAGAAGTTCAGTGAGGATCTCTGAATGATCCAATGTTGACCTAAATGACTAATGATGATAAATAGAATCCACCTGTGTGTAATCAAGTCTCCGTATAAATGCACCTGCACTGTGATAGTCTCAGAGGTCTGTTTAAAGCGCAGAGAGCATCATGAAGAACAAGGAACACACCAGGCAGGTCCGAGATACTGTTGTGGAGAAGTTTAAAGCCGGATTTGGATACAAAAAGATTTCCCAAGCTTTAAACATCCCAAGGAGCACTGTGCAAGCGATAATATTGAAATGGAAGGAGTATCAGACCACTGCAAATCTACCAAGACCTGGCCGTCCCTCTAAACTTTCAGCTCATACAAGGAGAAGACTGATCAGAGATGCAGCCAAGAGGCCCATGATCACTCTGGATGAACTGCAGAGATCTACAGCTGAGGTGGGAGACTCTGTCCATAGGACAACAATCAGTCGTATACTGCACAAATCTGGCCTTTATGGAAGAGTGGCAAGAAGAAAGCCATTTCTTAAAGATATCCATAAAAAGTGTCGTTTAAAGTTTGCCACAAGCCACCTGGGAGACACACCAAACATGTGGAAGAAGGTGCTCTGGTCAGATGAAACCAAAATCGAACTTTTTGGCAACAATGCAAAACGTTATGTTTGGCGTAAAAGAAACACAGCTGATCACCCTGAACACACCATCCCCACTGTCAAACATGGTGGTGGCAGCATCATGTTTTGGGCCTGCTTTTCTTCAGCAGGGACCGGGAAGATGGTTAAAATTGATGGGAAGATGGATGGAGCCAAATACAGGACCATTCTGGAAGGAAACCTGATGGAGTCTGCAAAAGACCTGAGACTGGGACGGAGATTTGTCTTCCAACAAGACAATGATCCAAAACATAAAGCAAAATCTACAATGGAATGGTTCACAACTAAACATATCCAGGTGTTAGAATGGCCAAGTCAAAGTCCAGACCTGAATCCAATCGAGAATCTGTGGAAAGAACTGACAACTGCTGTTCACAAACGCTCTCCATCCAACCTCACTGAGCTCGAGCTGTTTTGCAAGGAGGCATGGGCAAAAATTTCAGTCTCTCGATGTGCAAAACTGATAGAGACATACCCCAAGTGACTTACAGCTGTAATCGCAGCAAAAGGTGGCGCTACAACGTATTAACTTAAGGGGGTTGAATAATTTTGCACGCCCAATTTTTCAGTTTTTTTATTTGTTAAAAAAGTTTGACATATCCAATAAATTTCGTTCCACTTCATGATTGTGTCCCACTTGTTGTTGATTCTTCACAAAAAATTACAGTTTTATATCTTTATGTTTGAAGCCTGAAATGTGGCAAAAGGTCGCAAAGTTCAAGGGGGCCGAATACTTTCGCAAGGCACTGTATGTCTCCTACAAACCGGAATCATCTGTTGGGTCCGTCTTGGTCAGATTGTACTGTCACAGATGTGTTTACAGCACCAGGCAGAGATGGAGGACCGGGCTGCAGACTAAACAGGCAGGCTGGCAGGTGGAGTTTAACTATTTAGTAAAGAAAAGTTAAAAAGACTTAGAGTAAGCAAAAACAGAGCACGGGGAGTATGGACAACAGGAGGCAGAGACATCTGGAGACTGGATTGGGAATGACAGTTTGTGAACACTACAGAAGGTAACGTGGCCAGGAAGACATGGGGCAGAAACAAGAGGTGTAACAGCTTAGTGTAATTAAAACTTTTTTTTTTTTTTTAGAAAAAACACTGTTTTCTTTTAATCTTAAGGCCTTGTTACAAAAAAGGGAACTCTAGTTTTTAGAACTTCATAATTTTATTGTGCTCAAATGAGACAAATGAATTTGTAAGGGTGGGGGTGTCAAAAGGTGCCCAAATTTGTGCCCTGTGGTCCTCCAGCAGGTTAATCCAGCCATGGAGTTGTATACAGCCTTTATCAAACCCAAGCTTGATATAGACTGTTATTATACATGTACTTCAAGTAAAGCGATTAGCTCAATTAATATCAACAAAATTAAAGTTACGCTACCTGTATGTGTCTCCTTCAGTTACACAGGAGTTCAGAAGAGACGGTGGAACCTGAGGCTTGGGTCAATGCTTTTCTGGGAAGGATATTCTGGGATTTCCTGGGAGAGAAGTACTGGGCCAACGTTGTCTCTAAAAAGATCCAAATGAAGCTCAGCAAAATCAGAGTGTGTACTGGTTTGCACAAATAAATGTAGAAAAAAAATCTTCAATTTTGTCTCTCTCTCGACTGTATTCATGTCTTTTTTGTCCAAATTGTGCAGTCTGAATCTTTTATTTCACTGTTTTCTGTGCTTTAGCTGCCATATGTTATGAATGAGCTGACTCTGACAGAGCTAGACATGGGCTTTTCCATACCTAAGGTCCTCCATGCCTCCAGACCCTCTGTGGACCACCAAGGTAAGAAGAGAAACTGTACTTGGCACATCATGCTTTTCACAGAGTGTTCTGGGTGGTCTCCTATAATAGGGATTTATTATTCTTCTTCAACTTCACCCACTCTCCTCCATCTTTCATTATAACCTAGGCTATATATCACTTCTCCATCTTACCTCTCTGACAGAATAGCAAGACATACTCTCACTTTTCTTTGTCTCCACCCCTTCAATCTAACCATCTCCTTCTTTTCCCCTTTCCTTATTTTCTTTGTCTCCACCCCTTCAATCTATCCATCTCCTTCTTTTTCCTTTTCCTTTTCCAAGCTTTGAACCTCTTGTCTCTGGGTTAAGACATTTCCTCCACCAACTCTCCCTCTCTCTGTCCTCTGGAGCCTAGTCCCTGTATGTCTCGCTCTATTAAGCCACAGTAATTAAACTGCACGTCTTGAGCCTCCCTCATCCTTTACTGAGACACTGACTCACCTTGCCTGCCGCCTGCCTCGAGTCCCAGCAAAGGGACTGGTTAGGCATACAGAGACACTATAGAGAACATGTCAGGCATATTAATTCCTACCTAGCTGGGTGGTTAGGGGAAAAAATGAGGTAAGAGAGGCTTACGAAAGAAAAAACAGTTGAGCAGGTTGTGAAAGGTATGTTGAAAGAGCAGAGAGCAGATCAAGGGATGAGATTTTTGTGTATGGTTTAAAATCAACCTTTCAATTTCTGCCAAATTTCATTTGGATATAATGATCAGTTTTCCATATTTATATTGTTCTGTCCTAATTTTGAAAATGTTCAGGTCTACTTTTATCTTAAAGATATAAGATTATTGACAAGGTTATATCTATTGCTGTTCAGAGGTAGGAGCCAGTCGTGAATCATTCTCCTCTACTTCTCCTCACTACATTTCCATGACTGAGTCTGCAATGCTTGTTAATGTGCTGCCTGAATATATGATACTGTATATTTCAGTCTGGACCAAACTGGAGAACTTAATTGGACTAGTCAACCTTTCCATCCATAAAGCCACACTGCTAGTGTGGCTAAAAGCCGTGAGCGGCCAAGTATTCGGCGACAACTGTCAGGATAAGTTCCATAAGGTCACGTCACTTTAATTTACTTTAAGAACAAAACAACATATAAGCTACAAGAATTAGATTCATGGCAATATCTTGTCTCATATTATTGCAGTTATAGTGATGTGTCTCCAGACTGTCTCTCCCTTCTGTGTCTTGTTCTAGACAAAGACAGCAGGACACTGTTTAACATGTTCTGACTTCATGCTGTCATTTCGCTTCTCTTTGACACTGCTGCCAGATGCATAGAATAAAAATCAATGAGCATTTATGGAGAGAGGAAAAATAAAGGTGGGGTGGTGGTGAGGAAGATGAATAATAAACACTTATATAAACATAAAGACTTATTAGTTGTGGAGGCTAGGATCCACTGAGCAAACAGCAGGGGGGTTGAAATCCAGTAATTCTCCTGTTGCCTCCTCTGAAGTATGATGTGTAAACAGGAAGTAGCTTGATGAAGTCAGCCAATAAGGAGGCACTGCCGCCCTAGAGCTGACCTTTTCAGTGTTTGCTAGAGGATAAGTCTCTGCAGGGAACCCCACAGCAATTAGACACCTGACTGGAGATTCATCTTTATTCACAGAAAAAGCACTCAGAGGCTGCAAGTGTTGCTTGGGTATTATTAGGAGTGTAACACTAACATGATTTTGATTGGCTTTTTTCATGCATTTCCTTATTTTCTGTCCAGGCCTGTGGTTTGACCTGGAGGTCTCCTACACCGGCTCCTTCCTCATGACACTAGAGACCAAGATGAACCTAGCCCGTCTGGGGAAGGAAGGCGAGGGCCTCGGGGAGCATGGGAAAGAATGGTGAGGCTTATGTTTAGTAAGTTCTTCTTGTGAGGTTTGCAGTGAAGCTAATGAAACTGAGCCTGGCTTTTAAATGCCTTGCATATTTTTTGCAGCTTGTCCTTACTCCTCCGTGGCTGATTTTGTTATTGTCTTAATGAAGCTACACATTCTGAGTGATGGGCCCAAAATAAGATGTACGAAGTGATTAGCTTTTTTGATAATAAACAGGTCTGAGCTGCATGTTAATTGAGTAGATTTGCATTTAGAGACATATTAGATGTTAATGTGTTTTTTTTTTCACAATTCCTACCCTTTTTCTGTCGGCTCTTCCTCCCTTCTCTTTATATACTAATCTCCTCTGGACGCTTACAACTGTGGATTTGTCTAGTGATTGGTGAGTTTGGGAATAGCCCACAGATGTCACTGAACAGTATATTTTGTTTTGGAATATAGCTTCTTTTCTTGAGTGAATCAGTAGAGACCCTGTGATTTATACCAGTAGGAGTACATTTAATAGGAATTAATTTTGATTGTTAACAGTTCTGTGCAAAACCATCAGAGCCTGATTTTGTAGCAGCGAGTGTGTATCTATGTGTGTGACAGGCCCAGGCCACGGACATACTGTCTCGCAGACAGCGACGAGGAGTCGTCTAGTGCTGGCTCGTCAGATGAGGAGGATCCTCCAGAACTCCTCAGTGACAAACATGTTCTGCCTGGAGGCGAGGGGTCAGTGAATGTGTCTTTACAACAACATCAGCACATACTTGACATGACAAAAACAACGTAGCAGGACAAAGATACACATAATCAGTAGGTCAGATCCAAACTGAAACCTTCAGTGTACAGTGGGAGATGTGTCTTTTCCACACTGATGGAATTTTGAAGTGTTGACAACAAAACTCCATATCCCTCTCTGTTTCTTTCAGCCAAGCTGAGATCTCTGATCCCAAAAATATTTTAGATAATCATGCAGTAAACTGCTTCAAAATACATGACCTCATGTTATAGCAGGTGTTTTGATGACAAAGGTAGAGTTTCCCTGATCATGTTTCTACCTGCAGTCATTGTTTTCACATTCCAGCAACAGAGTTCTCGTTAAACTTTCCCACCCTTCCTTAAACTTACAGTGGTGTGAAAACGTGTTTGCCCCCTTACTGATTTCTTATCTTTTTGCCTGTTTGTCACACTGTAATGTTTCAGATCGTCAAACAAATTTATATATTAGTCAAAGATAACACAAGTAAACACATCATGCAGTTTTTAAATGAAGGTTTTTATTATTAAGGGAAAACAAAATCCAAAACTATATAGCCCTGTGTGAATAAGTGTTTGCCCCCTAAACCTAATAACTGGTTGGGCCACCCTTAGCAGCAACAACTGCAATCAAGCGTTTTCGATAACTTGCCATGAGTCTTTTACAGCGCTGTGGAGGAATTTTGGCCCACTCATCTTTGCAGAATTGTTGTAAGTCAGCCACATTGGAGGGTTTTCGGGCATGAACTGCCTTTTTAAGGTCATGCCACAGCATCTCAATTGGATTCAGGTCAGGACTTTGACTAGGCCACTCCAAAGTCTTCATTTTGTTTTTCTTCAGCCATTCAGAAGTGGACTTGCTGGTGTGCTTTGGATCATTGTCCTGCTGCAGAACCCAAGTTCGCTTCAGCTTGAGGTCACAAACGGATGGCCGGACATTCTCCTTCAGGATATTTTGGTACACAGCAGAATTCATGGTTCCACTTATCACAGCATGTCTTCCAGGGCCTGAAGCAGCAAAACAGCCCCAGACCATCCCATTACCACCACCATATTTTACTGTTGGTATGATGTTCTTTTTCTGAAATGCGGTGTTACTTTTACGCCACACATAATGGGACACACACCTTCCAAAAAGTTCAACTTTTGTCTCGTCTGTCCACAGAGTATTATTCCAAAAGTCTTGGGGATCATCAAGATGTTTTCTGGCAAAACTGAGACGAGCCTTTATGTTCTTTTTGCTCAGCAGTGGTTTTCGTCTTGGAACTCTGCCATGCAAACCATTTTTGCCCAGTCTCTTTCTTATGGTGGGGTCATGAACACTCACCTTAACTGAGGCAAGTGAGGCCTGCAGTTCTTTGGATGTTGTTGTGGGGTCTTTTGTGACCTCTTGGATGAGTTGTCGCTGTGCTCTTGGGGTAATTTTGGTCGGCCGGCCACTCCTGGGAAGGTTCTCCACTGTTCCATGTTTTCGCCATTTGTGGATAATGGCTCTCACTGTGGTTCGCTGCAGTCCCAAAGCTTTAGAAATGGCTTTATAACCTTTTCCAAACTGATAGAGCTCAATTATTCTCTTTCTCATTTGGTTTTGAATTTCTTTGGATCTCAGCATGATGTCTAGCTTTTGAGGATCTTTTGGTCTACTTCACTTTGTCAGGCAGGTCCTATTTAAGTGATTTCTTGATTGCGAACAGGTGTGGCAGTAATCAGGCCTGGGTGTGGCTAGAGAAATTGAACTCAGGTGCAATAAACCAGAGTTAAGTTATGTTTTGACAGGGGGGCGAACATTTCTTCACACAGGGCTATGTAGTTTTGGATTTTGTTTTGCCTTAATAATAAAAACCTTCATTTAAAAACTGCATGATGTGTTTACTTGTGTTATCGTTGACTAATATTTAAATTTGTTTGATGATCTGAAACATTACAGTGTGACAAACATGCAAAAAGATAAGAAATCAGTAAGGGGGCAAATACTTTTTCACACCACTGTAAATAACATGGGTAGAAACAGATTGACACTGATGTGTTGAAGGAGAATGTTCTACCCTTTTAGTCCATCCACCCACCCAATCCTGCGTGTTTGAAACCTTGCTGTTGATTTAATATAACAGCCGTTCTCCCCTCCATCGTGGGTGCTGAGTAGCAAGAGATGCTGTTGTGAATAAATTATGAACCTGACTCACTCCTTACCTCCCCTCCTCCTCTGTCTCCATCCTCTTCTCACTTAGCTATGTGGGAGGCCACAGGCCCAGCAAGATCATGCGCTTCGTGGACAAGATAGCCAAGTCAAAGTATTTCCAGAAAGCAACAGAGACAGAGTTCATTAAGAAAAAGATGGAGGAGGTGTCCAACACACCTCTGCTGCTCACCGTGGAGGTGCAAGAGTGCCGTGGGACACTCGCTGTCAACATCCCACCTCCCCCCACGGACAGGATATGGTATGTTCACTTCCAGGGAAGGAGTGCATTGGAGATTGTAGGATGTACAGTAATCTGTGTTTGTATGGGGATCCTGTCCTAAGATTTCAACTTTGCATCCCCTGCTGGACAAATACAGACATTGAAAGAATCACAGAAAAAAAAGTTTAATCACCACTGAAATAAATATACTTAAGACTTAAGAAAATGAGGGCACATGTGCAGCAGTGGTTCCCATCCTGGGACCCCTGAAGAGGTGAACCTGAGGGTTCACCATATGATTAAGAGAATAGTAACAAAAAATATATATTTCTGTTACACAAAATAATGTATATGTTTTTATTTTAAGTGTTTTCTTATGAATACTGGATACTTATACCTTTTTGTACCACTAAAAATTATTTGGATGCATCAACCCTAGAAGGAAAAGTCTCTCTTGGCTAAACTACTCACAACTCATGTGCACACCGAGGCCTTGCCATGTGTTTAGATGTGCACATTAACTCATTTTAATGGGCTGCAAGCTAAAAAGAGTGAGAACCGCTGATCTACAGTGTCATGATTTTAATTTGTGTAGCACATTTCCTGAACAAAGTGCATTATGGCAGCACTGGTTATACTGGTAGTAGGATTTTCTGAAATAAAAAGAATAAATAAAAGGCCCATTTACCTATTTACATGGAGCATGTTTTTTACCATAGATGTTTCCTCTCGGCTGACAGGTATGGTTTCCGGAATCCACCTCACCTGGAGCTAAAAGCACGGCCTAAACTGGGGGAGAGAGAGGTCACTCTAGTTCATGTGACTGACTGGATCGAGAAGAAACTGAATCAAGAGTTCCAGGTAAACAGGGAGATTTAAAAAAAAGTTCTCTTATGCCATCAGATCTTTTTAGCAGGTGCGTAGGATCAAGTAATCAATACTGCAGACAAAATTTAAAATGAATGTAACACACTGCTTATCACTTTGACCAAGATAGTCTCTTCAGATGTTTTTGGGTGAGAATAGGCTGTAAAAGAAGACTTTGGGATTAATTTATGGCTGCCCACCAACATGCACTTACCCATGTCTTTCCCATGCTGCTAGATAACTACCCAGAGGCAGCAACGTGTCCCTCTTAGGTCGACCACACGCCTACACTTATCGCTGTCCAACTCTTCTGGGGGCTGTTATTATGTACCACCCCGTCAACAGAGCCTCTAGTAAAATACACTGCTGCAGTGAAAATTGTTGTTAGTTGTAAGTGATTGTATACATCTGGCTTTCAACAAATGCCAGACTCAAGGCACATTGGTTTCCAAACATAACAGTGCACAGTTTGATGTACAGGGAGCAATGTGTTTCAGGTCTTTTTTCTGAGAATCTTGTTAACCATTATAATCTCATGCCAGTCTTATATATTTGAATTTACTCTATAAATGCATAGTGGATTTTGCTCCATTCCCTCCTCACAGTAGTATTTGAATAGACATATTTCACTGTCCCTTGATGACTCTGCTTTTCCTCCCACAGAAAATATTTGTGATGCCAAACATGGATGACGTATGGCTACCCATAATGCACTCTGCAATGGACACACGCTCAAGTGCCAGCTTGGTTACTGTGAAAAATGATGGCTTGAAGGACCCAGAACCCGAGGACTCTGAGGTCTCTGACAAGTGAAGACGGCAGGTCAAACACCGATGGACTTTCAATCACCTTGGCAATATGACAAGTAGCCCCCTCCCTCAGAAACAGTGGGTGCAGAAATGGGCCAACTCTCCAATAGTTTTACCCATATCCCAGTCCCATTGTTGCTGTAGTCTGTGGCCAATCATGAAGTGCACTCACATAACCAGATGTGCTGATGAGCTTGTAATCATTTGTGGTCGCTAAAAGCAGGAGAATGAAAGATAACTGTGACTCACAGATTGTCATCCGGTCACACAGTTCTGTGTGACATCAAATATTATGATTCGTACTCTGATGAAACATGATTCAGTGGGCAGGTGGAACATGTTTAACAAATGTGTGTGGTGGTGGACTGACAAATAGCCATCTGATTCAACCAGAAGAACCATAATACCTGTGATGTACAGCTGCACCAAACATGATAATTGTAAATTTTTTGTTTGACCTTTCTAGTTGTGTTTATTGTTGCTATAACTCTTAAGGCTAATGTGAAAAGTGTGTATGTCTGAGTGAGGAAATGATCTAAAATTTGGAGATGATTTTGTTGAAATCCCCTGCATCTATTAATAATAATATGGAGGTAACAGTGGTTCGGTGGGTAGAACAGTCATCTTCCAACCAGAAGGTTGAAAGCTTGAATCTCGGTGCCGGTAGTCCATGTGTCAAAGTGTCCTTGGGCAAGACACTGCCCCCGATGGTTAGAGCCATCGGTTGAGGTGGCGCCACAGATGGCTGCCATCGGTTCTCTACCGGAAACAAATTCCTTGTGTGTAACATACTTGGCCAATAAAGGTGATTATCCTTATCCTTAATACACATTTCATATGGCTATAAAGGCTCATTTATCACCCATCCACACTGCTGCCTGTGCCAGCCGCCTGGCATTTATATGCAAACAAATCAATGGCACTGTGTCCAATGAAGATACTAGGTCAGTTTAATTCCACTATGGACACTATCATAATATACAGCCTTTGTGCTTTTAACTGTGTGGTAGGGATTAGTGCCAAAACTGACTGTAGAGGGGTGAATTTTAAACTATATCTGCAAACACAGCAGCTAAATATTGCCTATAGGTTCAATGAATGTATAAATAGGAATTCAGTTCTCTGGCTGTGCAAGGAATAGCTCATTCACTGACATTGTGCTTCTACGCAACATGCTTCAGGACTTCTTTTCATGTTCTTTTTAGAGCTGAGCAAAAGTAATGATGCTCTGTCTGATAGGTACTGTATGAGGTAAGCAGTGACAAATAAGCAATCTATTAACCTGTGTTCCCGCCTGAGGTTTGGATAACTGACAGAAATAATCTGCAGGCATCAGGAAGCGGGAGAGGAAAACCCTTTCATGAACCCAGTGACAAATAAACCAACAGCTTTTAAGTGAAAAGATTGGGGAAATCTACTTCCTGTTTATTTGAATAAATAACATACTGGATATTAGCCATATTATTTCATGTTAGCAGTAGTCATCCAGCTAATGAATATTCATATTTTTATTTATTCATTTGGTGTACAGTAAACTAAAACAGCAAATTTGCAATCTGCCAAGACAAATAGCTCCTTTTGTTTTACATTAAAATGTGTTGGAAAACTGTATGAGGCAGAAAGTGCCTTTAAAATAATCAAACATTCCTCCATAGCGAGCCACCGTATTTGTTGGATCGGACGAGGATACATTGAAAACATCTGTGCCATCACTTCTGTCTGTTCAGACATCCCCTTTGTTTTCATGTCTTGATGTTTTTCATTTGCACAGTGATGAAAATATTAAACATTGCTGTTGTGTTCAGTGATGTCACAGGATGTTATGTTTCTGATCGTTGTGGATCAATAAAAAACCTTTTGCTTGAAAAGAATACGTGCAGCTTTATGGTCATGATAGAAAAGATGGGGACAAAGCCAGATTTCCAAGTCATCTATGTATGTATACCACCAAGACTTCACTACTTTTCCTAAACCGTGTCTGTGTTTAGGCCTGTAACGATTATTTTCATTATCAGTTAATCTACATATTTTAATTAGTGTGATAAAAATCTTGAAATGTCCACATTTTCCTTGAGTCATTCAACAGCTCAAAATCAAACTTGCCATAAAGCCTGGAACCAGATGTTTTTGCTGGGAAATATTTTAAATTAACTGGTGACCCGATTCACATAGTAGTTTACATATTTTATGGCAATTGGCAAAATTTTGCCCTTAGGTTAAATATTGACCAATAAATGATCTTTCCCCCTCCCCAAACTAAACACATCCATATAAAAATCTATCAGTCTAATTTTAATATAGTTGCAATACAAGTCAAATCAGCTGAGACTAATCTCTCAGAAGCACTGGAGACCTATTTAAAATTCTCTCATAATTATAAAATCAATTTTTTATCCTTTTTTTGTGTGGCAAAAAGTGAATCGTTCTTTAACAGCATCTGTGTCTTGCTTTAAAAGAGAGACTTGGTGAAGAAACCATGAAACCCCAGTTATAACAAGACAGGATATGATATTGCACCACTCTTTACCTGTGTAAATGGCCAGTGAAAAGGCCATTCAGGTTAAAAAACTGTGCGTAAAAAAATAGTTTTTAGAACAAGTAAATAACACAATCAGCTTGAAGACAAATGCTTTATTCACACAGACATTTTCCAGTTCAAGAAAAGATATCTAGGGAACACAAAAACATTTGTGGCACGTAGTTTGCAGGAGCCATGCACGTTTCTCAGGCATCACAATCCAATCCCTGCAGGAGAAAACTGTTAGCTTATTTCTGTATGTAGGTCATGATTTAAACTGTCTTCAAAAATGGGTATGTCATGTCACACATCATACTCAAAACTATCAAAAGTGATTTTTACAAGGCCCAAGACACTTACTGTACTGTTATCTCTGAGGTCAATCCACACTAAAGCCCAAATCCTGTGGGAAGAAGATTAAAATACATCAGCGACCTTGAATATTTAACACATCAGACTGATCCTGGTGGGTCAAATCAGAGTCAGTGTTGACTTCATTTTAACATCAGAAGTCTAACGCACAGAAATCATCATTCATGGAGCAAAGAAGAGAGATTTTAAAAGTTTTAGGAGATACTCACAGTCAGGGGCCCATCTCCAAGTCACCACGTGTGGGTGTACAGTCGCCTGAAAAACACGCCATCGATCCATGTTTACCAACAGCTCCGAGTACAGTTACTCTTATTATTATTATTATTATGTATATTAACATACTGTCTGTAGATCAACTGCTTGTTGCAATGTATTTATTTTTAAATAATGCAGTCTTACCACATCTTCAACGCCGATGCGGCCTGGTCACACTGCTCAGACCTGCCGAGTGCTTTATTAAAATGAGAATAGCTTTTCTGCAATCACGTATCCCAATAATAAATACAAAACACACACCTAATGCACTTCACAGCCATATTAAAAGCAAATATTTCAGCCATGACTGGTATAAAGACAAAAAAGTACCGTATCGAGGAACGAACTAATGCAGAAAATGTCCTCCGGATCTGTTTTATAGCACATCCGGAGTCCGGAGGCGTGTTTTCATTGGTTCACACTGACTCTACATTTCCCCTCCTCCATTGGTGTGGATGTGTCCCAAAGTCCAACCCACCCCCCCCGGTTGTCATTTCAGGAAGATGCAGATTTAACTTGTGTCCGCCGATCATGGAGCAGTAATGTTACAACGTCGGGGAAGATTTCGTAACACCTGGTTGTCAGCCAAAGCACGTTTTCTATGTAGTCGACGGCCGTGCGGACCGACTGTCTAACCCGGTTTGAGACCACAGAATATGGACTGGACAGTGAGCGGCCGGGCCCTGATGTGGTGCATGTTGGCTTTGCTTTGCTGCGCCTGCCTCCCACAAAAGGTAAGAGGGATGACCGGATAAGCTAGTTAGCTCGGCTAACACTAGCTCGGACCTAGCCACACTTTTTACTCAAGACATTCTGCTTTTTACTGCCTTCAAACTCAAAAGTATTACCAGCGTAAGCAACAACATTTGGCATTCAGTAAACATTGAATTCAGGTTGGTGCTTGTAACATATCTAGGCTAACACTAACGTTAGCCTGGTGCTTAAAACGACTCGCTTTAAAACGCTTTGGAACCCCTGGAATTAACGTTACCAACGTTGTCACTGGAGCTCACGTCCAATCCACCAGGACAGTGTGTGTTCAGAGCACGACATTCGGATTTAATGTTCATTTAGGCGAATCAACGCAAATCAGAATCATATGTGCGATGTAGCAGAAGCCGTTTTTGTGTTTATTCCTATCGAAAGTTAGCCTTTATACCGAAATCTCAGTGATGTGGTGAAAACTTGGATTTGTACTGCTTTCATTTTAACTCCACACTTGTTTTCTTTTACGAGAACGAACACGCATCCTGTGCGTGTAGGCCCGCAGAAGCTTGAGTAAGGAAACGGTGCAAACCAAGCAGCAGCAGGTGTTAAGTTCATGTTGATGAAAAACTGTTTTTCTTATTGCCCTCGTTGATACATATACACGTTCAATAAACATCTGCAAATAGAAGACACTTCGATCAAACAGTAAAACAGCTGTTTCTACACTGAAGTAAAGGTTACAGGTTGACCGGTTCCTGTGTCAGTCACCCACATCTGCATTGGACTTTCTCAAAGCATTCCCTTTTTGCTGACTATGTCTCTACAGCCATCTGAATTTAGCAGGACAGATACTTGATGTGTGCTCCGTCACAAAAGCCATGTTATCTGTGTTGGTTCTTTGGGGTTGGGTTGATAAAATGATGCTGAATCTGTGGCAGGCCAGTGCAAAAACACCCAGAGAAACACCCGTGCTCCTGTGCAGAATGTAATGTGATGCGTTGCTAAATATTCTGATTGTAAAGTACCAACAGCTTTGCAGGAGAAGACTGGAATAAAATATAGATGTGGTAGTAATGCAGTGTTATCTAATTAATTATTTTTTTTACCAGACAAAGTAGACCGAGAATGGATTGCATAGTATCAGTGGCTGGCACAAAGTGGAGCTAGCTAACTTGTTGAAACTCAGCCAGATCTCTAGAAAGGCCGAGACACTTAGCTGCCGTCTAGCAAACCACTTCAGCTTGGCAACAGAATAAAGTAGCCCCTGTCATGTCTCAGGTTCTTGTTACACAGTCTCTTGGTGTAGTCTCACTGTTGTTTTGTCACTAAAATATGGACAGAAGTGTCAGTGTCAGAAAAGATGTGCCAGTGACTAAAATGCAGCTGTTTCAGCAGTCATTACTGTTTGTTTTTAGATGCGGCTTCACACTTTATGCTCATGACTCACTTCGCACATCAGTGGGCTGTTCACACTGCGGTACCACTAATGTTTCTAATTGACATTGGACAGCGACGTCCCACGGCTGTAGTTTGTTCTGTTGCTGTCACGATGGCCATATTTTTTTTTTATTTTTAGGTTCAGGTTGTACTAAGACAGGCTGATTTGATTTAAAAACAAGCTGTGATCTTACACTATCTTATCACAATGGTACATTGACTTTGCCCGACTTGAGGGCCAACATGACATCCTGCCCACTAAATCAACACCATGCAGAGAGCACCTGATAGATGGTGCTTTCAGTGTCTCCACTGATCGCCACTACTTTTTAAAATGTGAAACACTGACTTTGAATGATCATCTCCCCTGAGATATGTCTACAGTTATTTTGTTCTACTCTCTCACTGTTGTGTGACAGTGTGGAGGAAGTTAAACCTCAGGCTTTTATCTTGTACACAGGCTTGAAGGGAAACCTCAAATTGCTGCTTTCATGTGTGGATCATCAGATCTGTTGTTAATGCCGTATTGCTTTCTTCTTTCATGTACATAAAGAGATTTCTTAATTGATTTTCAAAACATATTTTTGATCACTTGAAGCTGTTGCTGTACTGCACCTCCCGTGACAAGTAACCACAGGTGTGATTAGGTATCTCTGAGTTCCTGTGTTGGTGTTTTGCTTTTTGCACCCAAGCTGCAAACATACCTCGCTGGTGGTGAGAGCGTGTGACACTTTTCAACTAAAAATTAGTAACTATTAGCTGCTGTGTTTCATTAGCATTTGGCAGTCATGTCCTTATCTTAAAGATTATGTATTTGCCTCTGTCTCCTGCATTTATCTCTACGTGACATGCAGTTGCAGATGTCTGGCCATATGTAATCCAGTGATTCACTTATCAGGACGCACCACGGTCATTCAGTCACAAACTGATGATGCAGGTAACGCTCCTACAGCCTGTTATATTTTAGGGTGCAGAGCAGCCATGAAAGTGAAACACTGATTGAGGTTAATTTATTGCCTCGTGTATTTTCTGATATTTCGTCACTTTTAAGATGACTTATAAAGTCACTTCTAATGAATAACAGCTGACACACAAGGTCCGTACCTCCTTTACATTTCACTGACCACTGTCTGCCTGCGTTGCCACTGTGCATTCAGTCTTTTTCTGAAGGCGCTTTGGGTACACTCCATAGGAAAGTCACCAGCAGTAACAGCCAGCCCTGGGTTCACTTTGTTCTGACACACAAGAGGATGGGGAGTGCATTTTACACACCAGGCTGCTGCTGCTGCTGCGACATCTGTTAACGTCAGCATTGCAGTCATTGTCTCTTTGTTAGCTGTGCCTGGCATTATTGCAGAAGAGAAAGTGAAGACCTCAGAACTTGACTTTGGCTTTGCTCAATTCTGTTTTTATTATGCAACTCGCTTATGCAACACCTGAACATTTCTGTTACATACAGAACAAGGAAATGAGCGGGGATGCCCCAGTGTTTCAACCTTCCAAAATTCTTTAGAATACGCATCCTCAGCTAATCTAGACAGCCAGACATGGTAAACCAGATGTCCCTGAAACCTAATACAAGAATATTCAACAGATTATCAGTGTTCATCCAAAACTAGAAGGCTAACAGATGTTTGGAAGGTCATTTGCTTGTGAACTCAAAAACCCTGACAGAGGTTATGGGGGCCAAAAAAAAACGGATAATTCATAGTCATGCTTCTCCCAGTACAGTTGTTTGATGCTTGTGGGAACGTCCACAGGTGCATAATATTGACTCTGTTGCTTGTATAGGATGTGAGACTGCTGCGAGGAGCATGCAGGCAAATGTGGAAGAACTTGGTTAGTGCGAAACTTTCAGTTTATCTGTTTGGTTTGGTGTTGGTTTCTGTTTGGGACAGTTATGCAAACGTTTTTTCAAATTTAAGATGAAGAACACACTTGCAGAAAGAAATGAGCATTGCAAAATACCCCCTTGACCCATGTCTCATACCAGTAGAGGTTTGGCTTTGTAAGGAGACCCAGGCTTTGTGACCAAGTGGAAACACCCTGAGTGATTTGGTGATGACCACACTTCTAGGGCTGTCCCGAATAGCAGTTTTTGGACTCCGGATATTCGCCGGTAAAACTGATTTACCTACCCAGCTAACAAATATTCGAATGCTTGGATATTCAGGTCCAGCCCTACACGTTTCCTCTCCTTAACACATGGTCAGTCCTGAGTTAATGGCTCTAGTTGTTTGTTTGTGCTTGGCTGAAAAGCACTTAAACTCCTACCTTCATCATCTCCTCAAAAGTGGCTCAATTCTCAGATGGCTATTGATAAATATAAATTGGTAATCTGCATTATATGCTGTTTGCACTTCCCCCATGGGCCTGTTCGGGGGGATTAGTTAGGGGGTGTGGATCAGTACTGCTTTGGCTCGGTAGGAGAAAGAGGGCTGTCTTAGCTGCCCAGCTTTTCGTATACTGTGTCAACACAGATGGCTTAGTGTGAGCAGCGGTGGTTCTGGTGTGTGTCTACACTGTACAGGCACAGTAGTGTCCTGTGTGGGCCACTAATAAGAGATAGGAAATCAATTTAAATAATGTGTCTCTGAAAACAGTTGGCATATCAGTAATGTAAAAGATTTGTAGATAAGAGATAGGAAATCAATTTAAATAATATGTCTCTGAAAACATATCAGTAATGTAAAAGATTTGTAGGGAGTTGCCTGTAATGTGAAAAATAAAATGTAGACGAACATGGGTGAAAAGTTCTCCCCTCCTCTTTAACTCTTTTAGTTGAGAAGTTCCTGTGTAGCAGTTGCATATAATTTTGAAGAAGACCTGATATCAAAGCACAAAGACTGATGAGTCTGAGTTCATGTGGCCAGCTCTGGTCTGTGGGGCAGTCGGAGCTCTCTGACGCCTCCACTCAACCTCTTCCTGCACACTGCTGCCAAAACCATAAGACGTCCACAACTTGGATAGAGCAGCGTTTTTAGAATTCCATAGTGGGTGAGTGGAGCACACATAACCCACCGTGTTGTTAATTCTGGCATAAACCAAGTCATGAGGCCAAGTCACTCACCCACAGATGTGGATTTCTTTTCAGTTTTTTCTGAATCTTCATTTGATATTCCTTTCTCTGTGTGTATCTGTCAGTGCATTGCCTTTTTGTATGCACTCTCTATTGGTGTCATACACTAAAGCATCCACCTAAGTGTTCTCATGTCTGGCTATGCTCCCTGTCTTTTTGAGTGGAAGTAAAAGGCTCTGGAATGACGGTGCCCACATGGCCCATCAGCCCACTGTTTGTCTTTGCAGAGGGATGCTGAGGCACTCTCCACTCAGCTTACTGTGAAATCTGTTTAAAAAGCCAGACTGCTCTTATTGGGTATATTGAGAAATGGCATGGGCGTAATGCCGCAGTTTTAAAACATGCACAGATCATGCCCAGTTTCTTAACCTTCCCCCATGTTGCAACACTCGGCTCTGGCTGTTACTTCAAACTCTCTGAGAGCTCATCCAGCATCCTGGGGGCACCCAGTTACCGAGCTAGTCAGTTCTTGGACTGTCAGTGTAATTTGAAGTTGATTGATTGGTAAAGCAGGCCAGGCTGGCATACTTCTTGGGGCGGCTCACCTTCCCCACCCACTTTAAGCAAAAGTTGAACTATACTGAGGTAATGATTAAAAACAGGCCTGTCTTTCTACAATGCAGTGACATTTGTCAAGCATCTTTTCCCCCAGATTTTATCACTCTCTAACTTCATTAGCATGATGTAATTTCAACACATCACTGATGTTCATCACTTTGATTCATTTGCATTATGAATGCATGTTTCTGATAGTTTAAGGTTGAGCAGAGTTCTGTTTCTTTTAAAGTAATTCTCCTCCATTTTTGCATTGTGTTTCTGTAGGGGTTTAGCAGTGCCAGCACAGTTTCCCTTCCTGACAGCCTGCTCTTTGTGTCCACCCTGGATGGAAACCTGCACGCTGTTAGCAAGAAATCAGGCTCCATCAAATGGACTCTGAAAGAAGGTAAGAGGAGAGGACTAGAGGAGACTGTAAGTTTTTGTTTGTGTACCTGTTTCAAGGCAGTTCCTTATTCAAGTTACATTTGCTGCCAAAGGGAAACCGGTGACAATGAGTTTTTTTTTTTTGGTCATTTTACCAAAGGTGTTTTTTGTTGTTGTCATTTGTGATGTTAAAGGGTAGAATATGCTTTGTAGGACAGCTGAAGCTGAATTTGATCCTCGGGTGAACTTTGGAGTGCATTTTTGCACCTGATGAGGGCTGTGTATTTTGTCCTTCACTTTTTACAGGGTAGTCACGTTTTGGGTGGAAACCTTCAGGGTTAGAGTGGAGAGCAGGAAAGGTTACAGTCTCATATGGGCATGTCAAGAGCGTCTTAAGACTAACTTGAAACATCCCAAAGTTATCCTTTAATTTATGTAAAGGTGTACAGTCTGTGAGCCTAATGTGAAAAGAAAGGTGTATCCACTATAACAATCATGATACCACTCCTAATACTACGAGTGGAAATTTATTTACATTATGTGGCTATTTATTATAGGAAATGTTTTCTAGGATTAAACCTTGTGGTTTGGCTGAACTTGAGGGAAAATGCTGTGAGATATTGTGTTGGGCATGGAAACTGGGTAATCATTAACTGAGAGAGGGGCAAACATAGCCTGTAATCAGGGTCTGAGCAGGAAAGGGTAAGTAACTTACTGTTGTGTCACCTGCACACACAGCATGTAATGTGGTCAGCATGTTGATGGAGGTCTATACATTTTGAAAAATGTTAGCTGAAAAGCAGATGTTTACTGTTGCTTTGGGAAGTTTATCTTAAGGGACATGATAATTGAAGACTTTACCAGATTTTTTCATAGATGTTGTCATGTTTTCTCCGTCAGTCTTGTACCAGAAACTATGGTCGTCTAAACTGGTTTGAGCTCACGTGTCTCGGTTAGGTCCACCTAATGCCCTGATCATTAATAAGCAGAGGTAGAGGCTGCTTCCTCCACATCGTCTGTTTTTCTGGAAGAGCTGTTGAATATAAATGTGTTCAGTTCTGTACCAGGCTTCACACACACCTGTTGTTGTGCGCCAGTCAGGCAGCCATACACCCACGTACTGAGGGGGAAGCAGAAAACTCGATGGACCGAGATGTTACAAATCAGCCCACATGCATGTTCTCTTACTGTTTGCTTGGCACTGGTTTCTCACCACCTTCTATAATTACATGGACTGAATGCTGATGCTTCTTGAGTACAGCAGTAATTGACCACCTTTGGGTAATGCTATGCCACACTCCCCTGCTATTGTTGACCCCCTTAGGGCACCTCCAGGGATCAGCACCGCCTGGTCCACGCCCTATTTGTTCACACTGTGGGGAGGTGTATGTTTGTCTAGTAGCAATGAAGTTTTGGGCTTTACAGTTTGGCTCTTGGCTTAAACAGACATAGTAGTGTTTTGTCTTTCTTTATCTTTGAGTTAGAGAACCACACCGGTATTTAAACTTCTACACAGTGGCTAATCATTTACCTAAATAGTTTTTGTTTTTTTTATTTTTGAATGAATTTTCTATCCTTACAGGCAGCTTTAAGTCATCCTTCATGCCACATGGTTTGAAAATCACCTTTCAGAAACCATAAATGCGATTTGATGAGTAATCTATTTCAGTGTTATTTTTGAAAGCATCAATTCCCACAACACAACAGTAATGTAACTTTAACTTTGACATCCCACAACACAACAGTAATGTAACTTTGACAAAAAAAGTAGAAATTGATAGATTACACGCGGTGTCTTAAGCAAGGTGCCAGTTTCTTAAGTTGATTTTCCACTAAACTGATGATCTTCTGCTGAATGGAAGGGAACAGCTGTGCAGAGAGTGGGAGAAATGACTGGGCTTTAAAGTTTTAGGCAATAATGTAAAAGTGCATGAAACTTGTAATAAATGGGTTTAAACATTCAAACACATGATATAGTGCTCCTTTAAGCACCCATCCCATGGTGGCACTTCATGGAGGAAAATGTGCATTGTAGCAACTTAAATTTGACCTTAGTGCTTTTAGGCATTTCCCTGCTGTTTGTTGGGTGTTTAGTACCATAAGATTCATGTACAGCACATCAAGTAGTAGTTTTGTTCTCATAGTTGTTACATTCTTGACTCATTCATAGAAAGCTATTTGCCAACATGACTGTTTGCCTTTTAACGTCTGCCACAGGGGAATCAGTTTTTGTTTGGACTTGGTGTTCTTTGCGCATGAATGTCACCAACGTTCATAACATTCCCTTACTCCACAGCTAACTGCCATTGTTGGTTCAGGTTCTTGTCAGTCCTGAATTGCATCTTGTCTCCTTTTATCTCTTCACAGATCCAGTTCTTCAAGTCCCCACACACGTGGCACAGTATGTACCTTTCAGTTATTTCACAGACAAATGAAGCAAATCACATTGATTATCTCATAACTCCAGGGCATGTTAAGATCTGGGGAAGTGAACAGTTGGTTCTCGTGGTCAACATGTTGGAGCTGCTTTGGGAGTAGCAGCATATGTGGCCTGGCTGGTCATAATGTTTTAGCTCATCTTTTCACATTCTTGTGTGTAGCACTTGTCTGCTTAAAAAAAAAGAAAGAATGCATGTGGATATGGTAACCTGCTGAGCTTGTCTTCTGTTAAACTAATTGCCTAAATAAACTCTGCGATGCTCTGTTTTCTTTACTCTTTCTACCAGGCCAGCTTTTCTGCCTGACCCCAATGATGGCAGCCTGTACTCTCTGGGAGGAAAAAACAACGAAGGCCTCACAGTAAGAGGAAATAACTTTTATCACAAATTATAATCTCCTGTCTTGAAACTCTCTTCAGTTTCCTGTTCTATAGAACGACATGACTTATAATTGCTCCTGTGTATGCAAGTCATGCTGAATGCAATGCACCATCATTCTGCAGTTGCAACTGTGGTTGTGCAAGCTGTTCCCAATTATACACATTATGTTTAGATATTGTTTATTCATTTTATTCCAACAGAAATTACCGTTCACGATCCCAGAGCTGGTCCAGGCCTCTCCCTGTCGCAGCTCTGATGGAATCCTGTACATGGGTAAGGATAATTCTCCAGTGGAAATGATGCCTTTTGATGGAACACATTGTTCTGTATCCCACTGTCCCCTCTTGCATGGACCTTTGTTACATTTAAGCAGTTCACATGTAAGGTTGAACTGAGCTGAGGTCACAAGTTTCCTTATCTCCAAACTGGTGCCATCCATTGCCAGTGTGGTTTTTTTTACCTAAATGAGCAGGTATTATCTACTTTTAATAAAATACCCTTTTGTTCCGCTCAACCTGCGGTTGTAGCCTGTATGTTTTTGAATTTACAGTTAACAGAGGGGAGGTGATCTCCTGTAGTCACTGTGTCATTGTTTAAAGGGAAGCGGGCGACATTTGCATCTCCACAGTTGTTATCAGTGAAGCTTTTGTTCTCATTCAACTGAAGCTGCAGCCAGAACAAAGCATACTGAAGATGCAAAGGTCTGAAAATGCTACAGGCCTAAATTCTCACTTTTTATAATTGCCCATGTGTTTGTTGCATTCATCTATAATAATCTATGATTAGGGTGTTACTGCCACTCCCTCACCTGACAGAATAGGTGAGATGCCAGCGATAAAGACGAGGTGAGCTGGGTGTTTAATAGAATGACAGAGTGGTAACACCCATCACTGTGCAGGTTAAATGACTGCATGCTAGTTTTGTTTAACTGGGCTTGTGCACTGTGCAAAAATGACAATTTAGCAGTATATAGTAAAGCCAGTTTTCTTTAGATAGGCTGTATTAGGGATTTGTTCAGTTTGTTCAACACACAACACCCGCAAGGGAAAAACATCACAATGATAAGGAGGAAAAAAGACGTTAAACCTTCTGAAAATGAACCTCTTCCTTGGTCAACAGACATTCAGTAGTTGTCACATTTACAAAGTAGGCAGGTGTAGAAGTACAAATATGTTGAAAGAGAATGATGATAATTAAAGTTTCAGAAGTGATTTTAAAGGTACAAGATGTGCTTTTGTCAAGAGCAAGTTAATGGCAACCTTCCAGAGGTAAACTCTGTGTGTATTTGTCTATGTGCTCCGGTACAGGTAAGAAGCAGGACTTGTGGTATGTGGTGGACCTGTTGACTGGTGAGAAACAGCAGACCCTGACCTCCTCCTTTGCTGAGATGCTGTGTCCCTCTTCATCTCTTCTATATCTTGGACGCACAGGTAAACAAAGCAAACTAACCCAGTAAAACGAGCTCAGCTGTTTGTTTTCCCAGCTGTTTGTTGATTTAATTTGGCTAATACACAGGCATATTTATCTTTCATGCTGTAACCCTAAGGGCAACCCCTTATTTACCTCATCTTGTCTGCTACTCCTGCATTAAGAAGACCACCAGCCCCCAGTCTGTGCCCACAGTGTTTAACATCTAGGGATGCTGGGATGGCAATAGTAGACAAGGACCTAGAGTCTGACAGCCATGTAAATTAAATACTTGCTATAAATCTGTAACTTTGTGTCAAGACAAAGCTCTGTTTGCCACCCAACAGCATGTATGTAGTTTTCTTTTCTCTGTCTCATTTCTTTTGAAGCAAAGGAAATGTATTACCACTTTGTATTTAAACCAAGAACTAGGTGCCCACAGTGTGGCTTTTGTGTTGCAGAAGGAAAGCAAACATATTTTTTTTTCCCTGGCTCATAAGTTGCTGTTCATCTCCCTGTTAGAGTATACAATCACCATGTATGACACAAAGAGCAGAGAGCTGCGCTGGAATGCTACCTACTCTGACTACGCCTCCACCCTTCCCGATGAAGACACCAAATACAGTAAGACACTGACTTTATTGTAGGGTAAGTACCTGATAGACAAAGCTGATCATTGTCTGCTTTTTGATCTCCCCCACCCTACAGAGATGGCTCATTTTGTGTCCAACGGTGATGGCCTTGTGGTGACTGTGGACAACGAGTCTGGGGAAGTTCACTGGGTTCAGAACTACAACTCTCCAGTCGTGGCCATGTATATCTGGCAGCGGGAGGGCCTCCGCAAGGTTCCCCATACTAATGTGGCCATGGAAACCCTGCGTTATCTCACTTTCATGTCGGGAGAGGTTGGCCGCATCACTCAGTGGAAATACCCATTTCCAAAAGAGAAGAAGCCCAAGAATAAGTTCATGTAAGCAGACTGAGTTTAACAACTGATTGTAGACATTTATTTTTATGATTGATACCAATGTGACATTTCATCTAAGTTTTGTCTTATGTTATTTGTACTCTTGAATAAGAGCCTAAATTACTGAAAGGGTGAAACCAAAATACTTGTACTTAGGTCAGTTACTGAAAGGGTGAAACCAAAATACTTAAATACTGCTTAATGTTTGGATGGAGACTAGACATGTAATCTCTAACTAGCGGGTGCCAAAGGACCTGGTTTCAGCTCTAGTTTCACACTGCACTACTGTTTTGTTTTCACATATTGTGTTCAGACCTGCTTTTGTTGAAAAGGAGAAATTGAATGTTCGGTGGTTTATCTGCTATTTCAGGAGTTGATGGGGAAAATTAAAAAAAGAAATTCTTGTGAATTTGTAGTGGTACATATTCTCCTGTTTTTGTGATTGCGTTTTGTCACATTTCTAAATAACAAGACTGGTGTAGGTTTTTTTTTTTAAAACAGTTGTTTCTCTTTCAGGGCCACTTTGTATGTGGGTAAATACTCCACCAGTCTATATGCCTCTCCTTCTCTGGTGCATGATGGAGTCACTGTGGTGGTGAGTGACCGTTACATGTATATCTTCATTTAAGCAAAACAGTTCTGATCAGTAAAATGTGAAATTAAAACATGTGGTTTTACTGTTAAAGTATCAGCAGGTTTTGCATTGTCAAACTTTCCCAGCAATGTATCTACTTGTTTTGTGGTTTCTTAATCTGTCTTCATTTTTGGTGAATGATTTCCTGGATTGCCAGTGAGTTCAATGCGTACATCCTGTTCCATTTGTGTTCTAGCTTGTCCCTAGCTCAAAAGTCACTTCGCCTCACAGGCCATGCTGTTCTGAGTTTTTTTGGTTTTTGTTTTTTTTGCTTGCGCAGTCCTTTGAGGCTTTCAATATGAAATTCATGTGAATTCCTTAAATGTTTGTGTGTGTACACACAGCCTCGTGGTAGCACCTTCCCCATGCTGGAGGGCCCTGATAGCCAGGAGACCGGCGAGGACAAGGAGTGTGTCATCACACCCAGCACCAGTGTCAAGTTCAGCGCTGGGCTTCGAGAACGCAACCGTATCAACTTCATGAGGAACTACCTGCTCCTCATAGGTATCACATTAGTACATAGATCAGAGAGTAATATTGGGTATAAGGCTACATTCACATCGCAGGCATTAATGCTGATCTTTTTGTGCTGGTGGTTCACATACCTGTTTGTAAATGACATGTATCTGGCTCCGATGTGAACACCAGTGAGATCCTAAACTGCCATGCATGCGCCTAGTTTATGGACCTAAAACATAATGACTTAATGCAGTGTTTACCGCGGTGCATTGTGGGTGAAAGGTGGGAACAACCTAACGCGTGCTATTGCTACAAGCAGTGATAAGTAATGTTAACGTTCATTTGCATGGAAAAATTATCAAAAGACCTTAAAATGGTTTCTGATTGAATCCATCCATTTCCATCGCTTTTTGCCGTCTCGTGGAAGCTTAAAAAAAATGCAGCTGTTGTTCATTGTGTGCTTGATGCACACAGTGGCATGCAACAAATAACACAAACCATTTTAAGATCTTTTTGACCATGATTTTTTTTAACTGTTGCTAACTAGTAATGAGTTCACTCTCCTTTACAGGCCATCATGAGACTCCCCCTGAAGCTCACACCAAAATCCTGGAGACGTTCCCTGATAACTTCCCTCGCAATCAAGGCAACGTCATCCCCCCTACCACTGACAAGAAAGCAGAAGAGGTCAGCGTGTGACACTTAGGATATTTGGTTATAAACTTCTACAGATGTATCCGAGCATCTTAACAGATTGTTTTCATTCTCTTCCTCCCTGTCCTCACCTCTGTTACACCTTCCCTCCATGTTGTAGAAGGTGAATGATAGCGGTATGGATGATGGCCCCCCATCTCCTCTGCCTGAAACCTCAATCCAAGAACCTGGGGCCAGTGGTCGCACTGTGCGTCCAGAAGCCCCTGTGGACTCTATGCTCAAAGACATGGCCACCATCATCTTCTCCACCTTCCTCCTGGCTGGTTGGGTGGCCTTTGTGATTACCTACCCCAAAGTAAGTGAAACACCTCCATCTAGTGGTAGTAGAAATATATTAAGGCCTCCTTCACAGATCCACAGGATAAATCTGGCTGCACATGGATATCTGAACTGTAACAAGGGGCCCCAACACCTTGTTTTGTTGTTGTTGTTTTATTAGGGGTCACAACCCAAAATGGCTGAAAACCCACTGGTTAAATTGTGAATAATACATTTGAGCTTTTATGTATTTTATGTAAAATCTGAAAACTACTATTTATACCTGCAAAATAAATGTGGAGGAGTAGAAAGTACAATATTTAACTTTAATATGTAATGGAGTAGAACTATAAAGATGCATAAAATAGATACAATTAAATTATGCTTAATTACTTTACCTGATTATGCTTTTATTTTTCACCATCAATAAAAAAAGAGACAGGCTTAAAATAGCTTGTAGTCGAAGGTAACTGCTGAAGTGGCTGCATTGCTCATGATGGACCAAACAATTTAAAAACAACTTCATTAAAGCAGCTTTATTATTTTTACAGCCTTGGACTTATTGTCTTCTCTTACCACAGAGTATGCACAAGCAGCAGCAACTGCAACACCAGGAGTTCCAGAGACAGATGGAGGAGAGGTTGGAGCTGCTTCAGAGGCAGCAGCCTTTCCCCCCCACAGATGTGGGCCTGAGTTTGACCCCTGACAGCGACTACATGGAGGCGGCCCCAACTTGCACCGAATGCTCAGACCACAGCAGCCCAAATATCACCCCCCGCGCCTCCAACCACTCCAACCTGTCTGTGTCTGAGCTGGGCAGTTCAGCCAATGAGCCCGAACATGGAGGTAAGGAGTGGGAAATTGTGACTACATGCACACTCTTTGTTTTTGCTTGTTCAGCACATCAACAGATTCAAACCAGTTTCGATTGTCTGAACCTGTGTGTTTGTCGTACCAGATGAAGACTCCGGTATTGTCAGAGTGGGCAATATAACTATCCATCCAAAAGAGGTGCTGGGTCATGGTGCTGAGGGCACAATTGTGTACAAGTAAGTCAACCAAGTGTGTTTTTGTGGGAACTCCTGTTTGATTTGTAAAATACAGAAAAAAATACTACCTTATTTTAATTAAGTATTTCCACTGTTTCTCCACAAGGGGTCAGTTTGACAACCGTCCAGTGGCAGTGAAGAGAATTCTCCCAGAGTGCTTCAGCTTTGCAGACAGAGAGGTCCAGCTGCTGAGGGAGTCAGACGAGCACCCAAATGTCATCCGCTACTTCTGCACTGAGAGGGACCGTCAGTTCCAGTACATCGCCATTGAGCTGTGTGCAGCTTCACTTCAGGAGGTAAGAAATGGGTTAATAAATCACTCCTGCATTTTTCTGGGAAGAACTTATTTGTATGTTGTTCTTAAGCAAAATTCAAGTGTTTGGTTTATAACTTCTTTTAATTGGTGCCTTTATAAAGATGCATTACCTTGTCAAGGTTTAGGTAGGCTATGGCATGTGATTTGAAATTTGGGATACAAGTGAAGGAAAATAGATGTGATTCTTTGTCATGTGTGTCTCAAGAATAGATTTCCCATTCTAAAATTAATTTGTTGATTTGGACTTCACCCACTGCTGTCTTTCATTTGTGTAGTATGTAGAGAGGAAAGATTTTGAGCGTCATGGCTTGGAGCCAGTCATGCTGCTTCAGCAGACCATGTCAGGACTGGCCCATCTGCATTCTCTCAACATAGGTACACTGAACCACAACTACTTTCACATTCTTATTAGTGTTGCCTGTTTTTGCATTACCAAACAGTATTTACACTAAAACTGACAGCTTGTTTTTGTCTTCTCATCTCCAGTGCACAGAGATTTAAAACCCCACAACATCCTGGTGTCGATGCCCAATGCCCACGGTCGCGTCCGAGCCATGATCTCAGACTTTGGCTTGTGTAAGAAGTTAGCAGTGGGCCGCCACAGTTTCAGCAGAAGGTCTGGGGTGCCAGGCACTGAGGGCTGGATTGCCCCCGAGGTTCTCAGTGAGGACTGTAAAGACAACCCAGTGAGTCGGTGGTAGTGTAGCAGCTCTCTCCTGCTGGTTATGAGCATTGTTAAATGGCAGGATTCACAGAAGATAAACTCTTTGCTCTAGTGTGATAACACTTCCATAGGGAAAAATCCTATCAAAGAATAAAGGATTTGGTCTTTTATGGTGTGAGCATCTGATGGGATACGTTTGTGAGAGCACAGTCGCTACAATTTGCTTTATGTCTGATGGCAGTCAGGTCACCACAGCCTAATGAACTTGATAAACCACTGCAAGATGTACTGTATGTAACATCACGATGCTGGTGTTTGATGCCACACTGTGACCTCCTCCTACGGTTTGTTTTTCCTCCCCTTGCAGACCTGCACTGTTGATATCTTCTCTGCTGGCTGCATGTTTTACTATGTAGTGTCCCAGGGCAGCCATCCTTTTGGCAAGCCTCTGCAGAGGCAAGCAAACATCCTACTCGGCAGATACAGCCTTGACCACCTGCAAACTGACAAACATGGTGAGATCTTAAGGTTTTGTTGTAGATCAGTTCCAAAGGTGTTTAAAATTAGTAATGTAGTTGCTGGTAAATGTAGATATGTATTGTGGATGATTGTGTTTATAAATGTGTGGTACCGCTGTGGGATTTCCCTATGATAACAATAACTTACTAATTTTTAAACTGACTTGCAGCGGACATTGTAGCCAGAGATCTGCTAGAGCAGATGTTGAGCATGGAGCCCCATTGGAGGCCTTCAGCTGAGAGTATTCTCAAGCACCCTTTTTTCTGGAGCCTGGAGAAGGAGCTACAGTTTTTTCAGGTCACAGTCCCTTTTTTGCTTAGATGACCATTTTTACTGCTTTTTCAAAAAAAAAAAAAAAAAACTAGAGTAAGCAGTGCATTATTGCACATTCAACTATACTTGAACCTCCATAAATGAAAAAGGCTACACAGTCACTTCTAAAGTGGTGTTTCCAATGAGAATAATACTGCAGACTGCCTGGCATGTTTGTTGAAATTCACTGACAGGGTTTGTGGCTGAATGCAGGATGTGAGTGACAGAATAGAAAAGGAGCCGCTGGACGGACCAATCGTGAGACAGTTGGAGAGAGGTGGGAGGGCTGTTGTCAAGGGTGACTGGAGAGAGCAGATCACAGTGCCACTGCAGACAGGTAAAGTCTACACAGCATGTCCAACACAGGCTCCTGGAGCCACCTGTTGGGAAATAGTCCTGTTTCCGGTGTTGTTTTAAACTTGGGTCCGCAAGTTTTCTTTCTCTCTCTTTGGCAGATCTGAGGAAATTTCGCTCCTATAAGGGTGGATCAGTCAGAGATTTACTGCGTGCAATGAGGAACAAGGTATATAGTGATAAACTGTATTTTGTTTTAAGATGAAACCGGTTTCTACTGTCAGACCTAATGCTTGAACTTCCCTCAACAGAAACATCATTACCGAGAGTTGCCTGCTGAAGTGCAGGAGACTCTGGGCTCCATCCCTGATGACTTTGTCTCCTACTTCACCTCCCGCTTCCCCCACCTGCTGATGCACACCTACCTGGCTATGCGGACCTGTGCACCTGAAAGGCCATTCCTGCCTTACTACTCAACTGCAGAGCAGCTTGCAAAAACACAGACACAGTACACACACCCAGATCAACAAAGACAAAACAAAGTGACATTTGATTTAGCAGAGCCTGGGCAGGTCTGTCACGCAACACCTGCTGAATCACCAGACGAGTCTGTATCTTCACATTTGCCAGTTCAGGTGGTTCAGCCACAAGCAGCAGCACCATCCACACAGACTGACTTGCACAGTCAAACAATGAATCCTACACTTGCCCCAGACTCACCTACAGCTCCTCTCAGGCTAAAAGCATCCGTTCAGTCTGAAATGCACACACTGCCAGATCCTCCTGGCCTGGATGACGAACAGTGTGAACTGGACCAGAGTCGGATGGACCCAGCACAGATGGCAATGTTGCCTTAGCGAGCAGACACCAAGCGGGTCTCAGTTGCTGTGCTGTGATTCGGTGGGGACCAGGCCTGCAGTGCCTGGGATCCACTGCCGGGTGCAGCAGCTACACCCTCGATTAAGTGCCTTCTGCTTACCTGGGTTAAAGTGCTCCCTCAGAGAACCGTCCACAGGTCTGTCTATGCCTAGAAGAAGAATGACTTTTAACAGGGTGTTGGTTATTGGAGCTGGAATCAGCAAAGAGATTTTTTTTTATTTTATAACAGCATGTCCAAAAAACGGTTTGTCCCAAGATATCTGGCCTCTGCTGTGGGTAATGTGTCTGGATGTTGTTGAACACTTGGATAGTTTTATTGTGCAATACAGATGCAATATGTATATTTTTGTATAGACTGATTCAGAGTTTGGATCATTAATGATAAATCATTTAATGTGGCCAGTGTGCCTTTTTATATCACTGTGCTGTAGGGGTACAGATCTTTGAAATGGACTATGCTAAATGTGCTTGATTCCAGTTAATGCTGCTAGACTGCTTCTCCTTTTGTAAACCAAGACTATTGTGTGGACCCAGTAAGAGTGGACTGTTCCAGCAGGTGTTCAGGGTGGCGTCTAGGGCAGGTCATTTTATCTTCATGTGTTTATGTAGGCAAATATGAGTTTAGAGTTATGTAACTAATTTTTCAAGGGTCTCAAAGTGAAGTTAATGACTTGCACATTAAATTCAAATTTTTTATACTAAGATTTTTTTTGTTCTCTGATCTTTATGCATCAACAGCCAATCCCAATCACAAGTACATTTTTCTTTTTACTGCAAGCAAATTAATCAAACATCAAATTAAAAGAACAAACACAGTTAACCTTGGTGCCAGAATGTGTGAATTACTTCTCTCTCTTCAGGTCACACTCTGATGTGTTACTAAAAATTAACCAGAAACCTGTTTACATATGTAAAATCTGTTTACACTGACCACTGTTTGCATGAGTAGCATAATTTTCCCCTTTCAGTGCCACTGTGACTGTCTCTCTATATACATCTCTGTTCACCATAAGGATTGTTTAATCATATGACTTGTAGGATGTGGCCTGCTTTTTGTTCTTCTCTTATGGATGGAATTAACTCTCTCTTACATCTTAAATGATAGAACCCTGGCTTATATTATACTGTGCAATACTGTGTCCTCTGCATTTCTTTGGAACTTAATTATATACTTAGTTTTCACATTTTGTTGTGAAACGTATTTCTGCTATCAATCAAAACATACTATCTATGGAAGAAATGCCAATTCATACCCGTACATATAACCCTTAGAATCGGTTATTAAATTAATGCTGCAATGAGAATATAAGGATTCTTCTGCCACATTATTCCTTTACTTCATTGGCCCATTATAACTGTAGCTGAACTACAGACCAGATTTACCTGAACTGTAGTTTACTGTTACTAACACAGTTATAAATGTGTTAGTGTAATCATGCATTACTCTGTTACTAACACAGTTATAAATGTGTTTGTCTATGTAATCTGTAGACGTGAGTGTAATCACGCATTACTCATGTCTTGGCTGTGTTTGGTGTGTCCGGTGGAGGTGGTGCATTCCTGTGGTTTGTGGAGGTTGTACTTTCTCCAAAACGAAACTCGAGAGGTGAACAAAAGTAGCATGCGCAGATCTGCCCATCAGCATTTGACGACTTCCGCTTCAGCAGTGCAGGAGCCAGTGAAAAGTCTGACTGCATGTTTAAAACTACCAAAGAAGGCAGTCCAGAGAAGGGACCAGGCTGATTGTTTGCACTAGGCCTATTTATCTCAGGTAAGAAACAAATGGCCTCCTTTAAAAAAAAAATATATATATTCGTTTGTGTACATTGTAGTGTTTTCCTTGCTCTTGTTATGTAGCTGATGGACGATGAAATGCTCTCCTCCAGATATGTAGCTTGCGATTTCCTGTGGCTAATGGATAAATCTATAATATATAAACCCTTCTATTGAAACGAGCTGTAGGAAGACGATCGACTGATTTTATTCTCTGGTGTGGCAGAATAACTATGTGAATTAATAGCCATTTGTGTAGCCATAGACAAAAT